TTTATTTATTTATTTATTTATTTATTTTTATATTTTGAAGTTTAAATAGTACTGATATGACGGACTGTAAAATCTCCTTCAAAGGCTGCGTTTACGATTACACGGTACCGGATAAATTTGTAACCGGTCAAGTAGTTGTACGTTTAGGAGTTCCGTTCAAAGACTTTATTTAAACAGGGTGGCCCATTTAGTTACCTGGCTGATATCCAGAGGGGCCCTGTATAAGCCGTTACTAATACGGGACTCAGCTATCCAAACAAAATTGCATTCGCCTAGCCATCCAAATTTGGGACCTGTTCCGTGTAAACAGAACGTATTTTTATACGATTAAAGAGATGGTTACGTGTAAACGGCACGTACAGGTCAAATTTTTTACCGGTTAAAAATTCGTACWGTACCGTGTAAACGCTTCCAAAGATGCTCTTTCCAATCTCTCACTTAAACCTGAGTTTAAAAGAGACATGTAATAATCACTTCTATTTTTGCTCTCACAGGACACCATGCATCAAGTGGGACTACGTCGTGTCGAATTTCCTTCAAGTAATCGGMTGCATTCTTTATACATATTACGTCTTTGTTCGATTCTGTGTGCCAGTATTTAGAAATACTGGAAAAGAACCCGGAAACTTCAAGTACGTGGAGTTAAATAGTTCATTTTATCAACTTTTCGATGTAGCTGCAACTCAGTTTTTAACTTGTACAGCTTAGGATAAAGAGGTGTCCTGCGACGCACCGGACCCCCCCCCCCCCCCCCCCCCCCCCCCCCCTCCTTTAACGCCGTAATTACGCTTTTTTAGTGATGCATAATATCTCTGTATACATTTATTCATTTGGGACACCCCCTAACAAATTCCGGGATCCGCCCCGGTTGCATTAATCTGGGAATGTATTTTTGTTTGACTTCTATTCATTTGCTATAACAACATGGYTGTTTTATGTTTGCAGACAGCTCATTCTATCCAGCTTCAGTTGTATGTTACCTGGTACKATGGTGCTTGTGTTGGGTTTCTTTGCCATACTTCACTCCTGGCTCAATGCTTTTGCTGAAATGACAAGATTTGCAGATAGAATGTTCTACAAGGTAAGACCTTTTCCTATTGCGAAGGTAAATGAAAACCATAATCACTCGGGTTTCATTCCACACACACTCGCAGCACTTTACTTGCACTTTGCAACAACTAGTTCTATAGTAATGGACTACTTCGAAGATACGGGGTCCACCTTGGATTGCAATGATCACAGGGCGTCCAGGGGGAAATAGAGCTTTGTTACAGTAATGTTGTCGATTGATATTAACAGCTCGCAACAAGAATATGCATCAAAAGATGAATTTGAACTACACATCGATCAAATTCAACCTTAAATGAAAGACAAACACTCAAAACTCTATAAATTTCCCGTCATCTTTGTTTTGTTTTGCCCCTTGCAGGATTTCCGCCGTATAGGATGAAGTGACACTAGAGATAAACGTTTGC